TGTCTGCAAATAAAATAGCTACCCCTGCTTTTTTCTGGGTTCTTGTCACATGGAATATTGTTTTTCCATCCTTTGACTTTTAGTCTACGAGTTTCCTTTTGAGTCAGATGTGCTTCTTGTATACAGCATATTGTGAGATCCTGTTGCTTGATCCATTCTATCAACCTGTTTCTTTTAATAGGTAAATTGAGGCCATTTACATTGATGGATATAACTGATATGTACTGGCTTGACATGTTATTTTCCTGCTGTTAGTTTTCTGCTTTTCCCTGTTGTTTAATTGTCTACCCTGTCTGGTGATTTCTGTTGTTGCTCTGGGAATTGTAGTCACTTTTATTTCTGTCTAATATGTCTTTCAGTACTCTTTCTAGGGTAGTTTGGTGGACATGAATTTCTTCAGTTGTTCTTTGTCATGCAAGTATCTTATTTCTCCATTAAATTTCAAAGAAAGTTTTTCAGGGTACACCAGTCTGAGTTGAAAGTTATTTTCTTTCAGGGTATTAAGTGTTTCACGCCATGTCTTAACTTAAAGGTTTGTGCTGAAAAGTCTGCCATGATCCTGATGGGCTTTCCTTGATAGGTGAGTTGGGTCTTTTCTTTAACAGCTTTTAGTATTCTGTCTTTAGGCTGTATATCCGGGATCTTAATTTTTATATGTCTGGTTGTAGATTTATTTTGGTTATGGCTGTTTGGCATTCTATATGCCTCATTTACCTGTATATCAGGTTCTTTCCCCAAGTTTCGGAAATTTTCTGCTATTACTTCTGTGAATAGTTTATTAGTGTCATTTGCATTGACTCCTGCATCTTCACTGTCTTCTATTAGTCTTATATTGTTTCTCTTGGCATCACCTTGAAGCTGAATTGTCATTTCATGTTGCCTTATTATTTTTAAAAGTTCTTTCCTTTATGATTGCTAGCTGTGATCCTGTCTTCTAGGTCTGAAATTCTATCTTCAGCTTCATTCAAATGGTTTCACCAGCTTTCAACAGAATTTTTTATTTCTTGGATATCTATTTGTTTCACGCATTGTTTCTTTTCTGTACTGTTCATTCAAGGTTTCCATCATTTTCCCATGCTCCTATACTTTTTTATCTATGTCTTCCCTAGCAATGCTGAGCAACTCCTTTATTCAGGCTGTCATTTCTGCCTTTACATGAGAGACTATTTCTAATCTGATTTCCTCTATACCTTATGAATTTTTTTTATTTCACCTGCTATATTTTTAGAAATTTCAGGTGTATGACTTTTAATGTCCCCTATTTCGATGTCTCCTGTACTTGTTCCTGATGGACTAGATGTCTGAGATTGCATTTTGCTTTTTCATTTTGTCATTTTCTCCTTTTGGGCTAACATTTGGTCTTTCAATCCCATTAGTCTCAACTGTCAGTAGTGTGTGTCTTAGGGTCCTACTATGTGGTTGATATTTGTCCAATTGCTGGGTACCACAATGAAAAGGAAGGCCAGTCACCTGAATTCCTCCTGAGGGCCTGTTCACTGAGTCCTATATTCTTTATAGGCTAACTAGCGTAGGAGTACTGATGTAAGTCAACCCTTAATTCCTGCTGTTACTATGTCTTCAGGTTGTTCCAGGCCACCAGATCTACCTGGTTGTAGTGTCTGCCTTGGCTGGGACCCTACTGTGTCAATGGGTGTCTCATAAGCCCTTCTGATTTCCTCCAGGTTGGGAAAGGCCTTATCAGCACTCTCCTCAACTCACCTGATGTTCTCTGTATGGAGAAAGGACTCCCACCCACACTCTTCTCAGGCTCACCAAAGTCCTATAACTGGAGGAGACCTCGCTACTACTGCTATTTACCCACTGAAGTCCTCTATTTTAGGGGGAGACTCATCACACTGATGCAAGCCAGCTGAGGTCCCCTGTTTGGATGAGGGGTTACTGAGTCTCCCATCAGCCTACCAAGGTTAATCCAAGGTCCAGGATGAGGAGGAGAAGGGATATCTGAAGATCCACAGCAGTACTAGGCCCAGGGAATCGAGGGGGAAGGGCAGCTGAAGATCTGCCACCCTTCTAGGTCAAGGGATCAAGGGGAAAAGACAGCCAAAGATCTGCCACCCTCCTAGGTCCAGGGATAGAGCAGGGAGGGCAGCAAAGATGCACCATTTTCCTAGGTCCAGGGGGTTGAGCAGAAAGGTGGCTGAAGATCTGACACCCTCCTAGGTCCAGGGGGTTGAGGCAGAAGGGCAGCTGAAGATCTATGAGTCTGTTTTACAGAAGTAAATTATAAGCATATATACATACACAAATACCTGCAAAAATCTCTAGAAAGATACATGTTAAAATGTTAGAAGTACAATATTTTATACTCACTGGGGTGCCGTGATTTTTTTTTTAAGCACAGAATAATAAGAGAGTAGTACCTGTAAAATTAAGGTGAGCAATCTTTACTTCTTAGTAGACCAGCAAGTAGTTCACTATAGCTGAGCCTTACTTGCCAAGCATCCAACTACTCACACAATTTCCTGAGCCTTATAACAAATTTCTTCAGTAACTTCAAACCATATGACCCACAAGTACAGACAACCCTTGGTAAACACAATGATTTCACCATACTATTTCTTTATTCATTTAAAACAGTTCCTAGAATAAGCTTCTACATGATATGTACTTAAAAGAGAAGACTTCGTTTTCTTTTTTGAATGAGATACTTCCAGAATTACTTACTCTGTTTAATCAATAGTAGAAAAAATAGACATGTTATATAAAGGAGTAAAATGAAAAGGACAGATTTTAAAAACCATTACAACGTTATTGTACAAGTTAAATCAGTTCAGGATCTAGTGTTTTTGGACTTGAACCACGGTTTCTTTTTAAACTGCTTCAAACTAACATTCAGGATGTCTAGCATAATAAAAATGGTATCATTTTTTCACATCGAAATCAAACAGGAAAGATTGTAATGCATCCATTAAAAATAAATACAAATGCAAAATTTTACAGAATTTATTTTTCCTTTAAAGATAACAAAGAAATACAATGACTATTTAGCTATGCTTTGATTTATAAATGAATGTTATGACCATGTTGCCAGGTTACATCAAAATTTTATCAATGCCAGGACCATGAGTGGCAAACAGATATAAAAATAAAGATGTTCTATCCCACACCATTGCATGTGTATATTCCTTTCATGCTGACTCCTAATATTTCACACAAGCTGGTGCTGATGTGAAGGGTAAGGAATAGAATGTTTCCTAAGGCATAGTATTAATACTAATCATCCAGAAAAATCCATCCCAAATCTTTGGGCAGAATACTAGGAAAAGGCAAGAAACTTTGGTAACAGTTGACAAGAAAGAATTCTCTGCTTAGCCCCCACCTAAAGACTTAAAGAGAGATGCTGAAAGGAAAGATGATTTTTATCATATAATGAAGGATTAAAAACTAAGCAGAACAATATCCCTTTAAGAGACCACAGGCCTAAAGAACTAAATTATATCTTACAAACCAGACCACTGGTTTAAAAGTTACTCTCTGGCTTCATTAATTCTTTTGCACTGATTTTAACCTGTAGAAATCTTACTTTAACAGTACAGCCTATTTCACAAAATAAAGGGAAAAAATTATTTTAGAGGGAGGTAATAGGGCCAGAATGTTAAGAAAAAGTGGTACTTCATGAGATCACCGGAGAAAGAGAAGAACTGAAACTCTTAGGTTAAGAAAATCTTTCCCATGTGGAGGCCTTCCTTCACATGGGAAGACTGGGATCTGAAACCAAAGACAATCTGTTTCCTATAGTAATAAAGGCAAAACTTTTCATAAGACGTTACCTGATTTGTTCTTGTAACTGTGAAAGGACATGGCTCTCAAAGTGTTTAGTGGTAACACCCTAGGTTCCAAGACTGATATTCTCTACGAGGCTAATTCTCTGTAGGGCCATCTTGGTGGGCATGAAACCCATTTCCCCATGATTCTTACTTACAGAATATTAAAACTAAACTGTATTTGTTGGAAAGATTGAATATTATTTTAATTTCTATGCTTTTCATTTATAAGGTAAAACATACTTGTATTACAAACCTAAAATTGCTTTTAATTATATGATTTCTCATTAACTTTTATTCTATAAAATTGGTTCTTGAAGGTCACATTCATTATTTCAAAATAATATTTTAACAAAAAATGAAATTCAAATGTTTTGTGTACATATATACATATACATACACCTACATATATACACACAAACACACTACTGAGGATAGAACCCCAGGGCCTTCAGACTAAACCACAGCTCTAGTCCTTCTTAATTTTTATTTTGAGACAGGACCTAAGTTACTAAATTGCCAAGGCTTAGCTCAAATTTGTGATCCTCCTGCTTCAGCCTCCCAGGGCGCTGGAACTACAGGCACACACTAACCACACCCGACTCCAATTTAAATGATATATTACACTTAAGAGTTACTTTTTTAACAGTGTTTTGGGAAAGTGTCTGCTATGTGGTTCAGGGTAGCCTTTGAACTCACTATACATTCCAGACTGGCCTCAAATTTGTAGCAACTCAGCTTCCTGAGTGCTGGGATTACAGGCATGCACCACCATATCCTCCAAGACTTTTTTTTTTAAGAGGAGAGGCACCAGGAAACAAACTCAGGACCTCATGCTTGCCAGCAGGTGAAGACTTCCTAAATTGATATTTTTTCCCTTATTTCCTCCACTCAAGAGCAGTATTTCTTTTTTAATGTTTATTTTTTATTAGTACATGCTTGTAGTACATCATGTTTACATTTACCTTAGGGAGCAGGTATACATACTTAACATTCCTTAATTTTTATTCCATCTCCCCTCTGCTCTCTCTCACCTCCATCTCCAGATCCCTTCCTGACACTTAAAGAGTATATAAAATAGACCCTGGTCACTAATCTACCACTGAGAACTCCAGCCTCCTCCTAACATTACCGCTCACCCTTTAAATTCTGGTCTACCTTCTCCCATAGTGCCTTACCCAGCAGGCTTTCACCAAGGAAAAGGAATGGTATCTTATGCCCACTATCCAGAACCTCTATTCTTTCAACTCTTTTGCTGACGCAAGTAAGGGTGATGACCTGCTTCCTGCAGCCACTGAGGATTACATCCATATTCAACAGAGAAATGGCAAGAATATTCTTACTACTGTCCATGAGACTGCTGGTAATTATGATAAAAAGAAACTAGAAAGGGTGTTTGAGAAGAAATGTGCCTACCACAGTACTGTAACTGAGCATCCAGCATATAAAGAAGTAATTCAGCAACAAGGTGACCAGTATCAAACAATATACCAATTCCTAACAGAGACTTGACTGGTTACAAACAACCAGCTAAAGAAAGTTAATGGGCTGTAAGTGCTTGGTGTGGTTCACTGAAACTTAAGTGAGAATCTCCATGAAATTAGTAAAATTTCTCTTCTGTCCTTTTACTACAGTTTTAAAACCTTGCAGCTAGTGTAATGGGACCATTTAGGGTCTACGTTCACTTGGGTATAACCTCCTTCATCCAATAAACGGCAAAGAGCCATACAAAAATTGTGTGTAAAATAATTTATTTAATTACTGTTTCTGAATTCAAGGAATTTTCATAGTACTACAAGTTACAACATGCTATAGGTTTTAATACTGGAAATTTTTCTTCAAGTTTTGGTCACAGTTAAAATCAAAGCACTGATTTCAGAAAGCTTAGAAAAAATTTTTTCTCAGGTTATAGCTAATGACCTTTTAATATTGGTCATTTTGCAGTTTAAAACTGTTTAGGGGCCAGGGATCAGTACCACAACACATGTCTGGCAAGCATGGGGCCCTGAATTTGATTCCCACGACACCCTTCCTCCAAAAGAAAAGTGTTTAAAAGACACTGAGGACATGGTGAAAATGGCTTTTAACTACAATCAGGAGTGTTTTATTGTACAAAAAAAAAAAAAAACTACACTTTGCAACACAAAAACATTTTCAAAAGCAGGATATCTTTCTGTTTTTTAAATTGTGTTTTGTTTTTGCATATCTGTATCTACTTTCTCATAACTAGGAACCAAAGTGTCAAGAATTTTAACTCCAGAGATGAAGTATAAGAAAGAGAGGCAAGGGAGAATACAATCAGTTTTAGTTGCTTTGATATAATCAGCACCTTTACATAACAGTTTTCTTCTTCTGGCCTCAATACATGGGCAAATTATTTAACTTTTATGGACATTCCACAGTAATTCACTGTTACTATAAAGATTCAATGAGATATGAAATACTGTATTGTAAAAACACTCAATTTTTAAATCAACTAAAGATTTAATTTGATAGTTCTGTGCCTATAAAGCAAATGCCTCTAAAAAATGTAGGCTATGAGACCATGACCCAAGAAATTATTTATTGACAATATAATACAGAAAGAATAGGCAGTAAACTAGTTACAAATAAAGAACACATATAAGCTAAATATGGTGGTGTATAATGTAATCTTGGGTACTCAGAAGGCTAAAGCAGGACCTCCTCAGTTCAGTTCAGTTCAAGGCTTAACTGGACCACTTAATAAGATCCTGTCTCAAAATTTTAAAAAAATTAAAAGACTGGTGATGCAGCTCAGTGGTAGAGCACTTACTTTTCTGAAACTACTTCCAAGATTACTATCTGTCTTCCAAGAAATGTATGTGTGTATGTTAGTCTCAAGAACATGTTCGATCACCAATACAGAGCTTACACTTCCAGATCCTCTTAATTTTCTATAACATATTCACCTAAGTATTTAAAGCAAGTGTTATTTTAACTTGTGATGTATTAGTAATGATTTTTAAAAATATATTTGGCATTTGAATATATCTTCTACCTCAAATTTACTTCTAAGGAAATAAGATAACTTAACACTGTTCTGTCCAAAGTTCCTAATATTGACAAATACCTGACATTATAAAAACTTCACACAGGGATTTATCTCGGTAGCATGATAGCCTGCCTGGCAAGCGTGAGGTCATGAGTTCAATCCACAGTATTAAAAAAAAACAAAAAAAAAACCACTTCACAAGCCTTTGTGTTTGTAGTGGGTTAATATTATCCCCAAAATGATGTCCACTGGCATCTCAAAATGTGATCTTATTTAGAAATTGAGTGTCTGCAAATATAATTAGTTAAAAATATTGAGGTGTCATAAGTCAACTGGCACAGGGGCTTAGAATAAAGAACTCCCCACTGCCATCACCATCAAGTAATCAGCTGGCTGACTAGTTCAGAGGGCAGGCAATTGAGGTACAAAAATAATTAAAGGCTTGTATTGTTTGATTGACTTTGCAGGCCTGAGGCCAATAGTCTGAGCACCTACTAGGACAGTAAATGTATGCTATATAGCAAATATGGGGAATTTCCTTCTGTCTTGTTTTTGAAATCCAGTATCAATTCTCATTGTTTTGTTCTGATTTGTTTTGTTTCATTCAATGTTTTGTTTTAATTGGTTTTGTTCTGTTTTGTTTTGATTTTACTACGTCTAGTGGAATGGACAACTGTTGTGAAGATAAGAAGATATAGGATGGTAGCCACTGTTGATTTCCTATTATCCTGCTTCAAAGTTCTGTACCACTTTCACTACCTTGTTTTGATTGGCTTTCCTCTGTTTTGTTTTGTTAGGTTTAATTCTCTTTAAATTAAAAAAGTATTGAGGTACATCAGACATGGTAATGCATGTCTGCAATTCCAGCAATCTGGGATGCTGAGACATGAGAATCCCAAGTTAAAGCCCAACCTGGAGTAATTAGCAACTTAGCAAGACTATTCCAAAATAATAAAGGGCTGGAGATGTGGCTCACTGCAAAAGTCCTGCATTCAATCCCTAATGGGGAGGGGGGATTAAGATTAAAATCATCCTAAATTCAGTGATGTCTCCAGAGAGGGAGACTTTAACAAAAACACAGAAAAAAAAAAGCCATTAAGAGGAAGACAAAGATTAATTTAAGGAATCCCCAGGAACACCAAAATCTGGGAGAAACAAGTAATGAGTGTTCCCAAAAGCTTTCAGCAGGGCACCTGCTGATACCAGAGAGTGTCTTGTTTTTTTTTTGTTTGTTTGTTTTTTAATTTTTTTTTTTGTCTTTTTCTTTTTTATCGGTACCAGGGATCGAACTCACGACTGCCTGCTTGCATTGTTTTAAGGCAATAAGTTTCTGATCATTTGTTTTGGCTTCCCTAAGAAATTAATGCATACATAGTGCTAGAGAGTTAACCTGTAGGTATTATAATACATCACAGAGTACTATTTATTAAGACATTTTAATAAGGATTATTTCTGATACTTTTCTAAAATAGTACTAATACATTTTCTTTTCTTAGTTAACAATCATTTTACTCCTATATTCCAGAATTATCAGTATCTAGAAATGAATTTATAATAAAAACCTCTAGTTTTTTTTGAAATTCATTCAAATGGTTGTTATGAAATACTTCACTACTCAAAACTATTTTTTCAAGTAAACAATGGAAATATAGAGATATAACTGAAAAAAATTCTTCTGAAAAAGTCAACAATGAAGACATTGATAAGTATAGGAAAAAGTAAAATATCCATAAAACTATAAAAGCTATTTTTTCACAATGCAAATTACAAAACTATGCACTTGAGTAATCTTTACTCAATAAATAATTTCATAATCTAAACCATTTCTAGAGGTCAGCAATAAATATGATATTACTGCAATATTTAATTATCTCAATTTTGACCTCAATGAAATACTATTCTAGCTGGGCACAGTGGTACATGCCTGCAGTTCAACTACTCAGAAAGCTAAGGCAGGAGGATTGCCTTAGCCTAGGAGATCAAGCCAGCCTGAACAATATATCAAGACTGTATCTCTTAAAATATATTTGTATGTTGTTCAGGTATACGCTTCATATATATATAAAATAATACCATGGCAAAATATTATAGTAGTCTACCAACAAAATGATTTAATTAATAACTCACTCTATAGCAGTTTTAAAGAGATAATCATCATACTGAGCACAATAAGCTATAATATATAAATTAACCTATAACTGGGAAAGAAAATTCCTCCTCAAAAAGTTATTTCAAGGACTGCAACATCATTCAATAATATAGTCCTTGCCTAGAACATGCCAGGCAGGCCCTATACTAATCCCTTGCACTGATTTTTTTAAAAAGTCTTATTGAAGCACTAATGAATCAGACAACACTTAGATTCATTCATTCATTTTTGACAAGCACACATTCAAAGATTTCCAACCATAAGAGTCCTGCCTATCAAAATAAGATTACTCAAACAAATGGTCTTATTTTGATGCCTCTATGTCCCATCATTTCTCTTACTTCTGCAATTTGAACATACTAGTTCCGGATTTACCACACAATAGCTGTTTACATATTCACAAGTAACTACTGGGACCAAAGGGAGGAGGACGCCTTTACTGGTTCTTCCTTATCCATACACTGAATGCCAACAGATGATCTATATTTTCAATTACAAAGTTCTTCACTGACTCATCTCTTGATTTCCCCATGCCATACCTGACAGTGAGATACATTCCTTTGCTTTCTATGACTCCAGAGTCTGATCTTAACCTCCTCTTCATTGTATCTACATTAGCTATACAAAATGGGAAACTCAGACTTATCGCCTTTCATGTTGAAAAATATATCCAGAGGCCAGCTATTCAACTCTACTATGACAATCATACTATAAGTCAACTGACACCTAGGATCTTTCTAAATTTCTGCTCTGTTATCTCTATGGTGTGGACCCATACCTACTTGGCTCAAGATGACTGTTGAAACTTCCCCTCTTTGTTACCAGAATGCCAGTCTTAAGAAAGAGAAAAGCTAGGAATGTATATCCTCATCTTTTAAAAATACTTTTGGGATATTGTATTCAACAATTCCAGTTAAATCCAACTGACCAGAATGTACTCACAAGTTATATTTTAAAACAATCTCTCTGGAGTTTAATTCCCACTATTAAAAAAATCTCTCTTCTGTTAAGCGTGATAACTAGCCAAAACTCAGGGGTTTGTATTATTAGAGATAGCCAAGGAATTTAGAAATATTATAGGTAAGCAGTCAGACAGGGCTGGGCTCTCAGAGGTCACTTCAGAAGACAGAATTCAACTTTGGGTGGAGGGAACACTCACTGAAGGTCAGGCCTCAGAACAAGGAGGAATGACTACCCACATAATTTCTCTAGGGATGAAAACAGTGATTGATGTTCTAAACAGACATCAATCACCTTGAGTAGAAGACCAAACCCTCCCTAATTTGCCCCTTCGAGGAAAGTCCTCATTGTCCATGAGTGACTGGTATGTGATTTACTTCCCCATTTGAT